ATTGGATGTTTTTACATATTTCAATTATGCAATGTCACAAAATACTCGATGGAGTCTATTATGTTAATGGGTGTTCGGTTAATATCAATCACTGTTGATGATGGGTAAGAAGTTTTATGAAAAATTGCGACAAATTATTTTAAAATGTTATCGTTTTTCACTTCAGCCATTCATTTTTTTTTCAAATCTGTGCGCAGCTGAGTTCAATACTCCGTCCACTCAAGGAGGTTAAAATTTGAGACGCCCAGAATCAACATGAAATTACGAAAAAAGTTATCATTCAACCACTAGCCGTACTTTTTAAGCCCTTCTCAGATATCGTCATTTACATATGATTTGAAGTTTTCTTTTAAAAAATGGTGAGTTAATAGATCCAAAATTGTATCAAGTCTTAAGAAGAAAAATACAATATACAGAATTATTGTTTTGTTTGTCGAATAAAAAAAATCGAACAAAAACTGTTAAATAAACACAATTTAAAACAAAGCCAGTTGCTGTACAAGACAATTAGCACGGAGGATTCCAATTGACCAAAATGATTTGAATAAAAGCGTTCAGAAACTATAAGAAAAAACCCAAAAAAGTAATTATAAAATTTCACAATTCCTGCGAAAAAAATCCTGCAAAATTTGTTTCCTGAAAACGGCGACTGAATAAGAAAAAAATAGCCTAAAAGTTTTGTAGGTCTAGTTGAAACAATGTTAAAAAATAACATTAAGAACTTCAAATTAACATTGGTCAGTCTGAAAAAAATCGAAAACCCGACTATTTTTTTTTCGACGCTAGATAACTCAACAAAAAAATAATAAAGCTTTGACATGATACCACAGTATATGTTTGTTACCTATTTTTGAATTAGTCAAAGTTGGTATGAAAAAAAAGCTTCAGAAAAACGAATTTACGCCCTAGCTAGTTCCTTTCTACTAGACTTTTTCAGTTCTCATCGGTTTGAAATACACGCCGATGCTAGTTTGGTTTAGTAATCTAGACAATTTGCTACAGATGTCCAGAAGCCTTCATGCTCTGTGTTGTTTTTCCCGCGCAAACAATGTGTTTTTTGTGCGTTCATCGGTGAAAAACTTCTTTTTGGTATAGGTTTTTCAATTTTTAGTACAACTTATTGTCAGTAACCTTTCTGAAGTTCTCAATTTGACCCAGTTCAATGACTTTTTTAGCTGAGCGTTGAAATCAAAATCGAGGTTGCGCTGGTGTGATTTTGAAGTCAGCAGTTTCTCTTTAGAAAATGGATAGTTTTAACTTTTTCGTTTTTCCATCTGTTTAAAATGCACTCTGATAACTGTTTGGTTTGATGAAGGTTTTGAGAGTATTTTAGCGTCGTTTTGCAGCATTTTTTTGGTTTCAATTTTCTTGCGCGAAAAATGTGTTTTGACTGTTTATCGGTTTATCGGTGATAAGTTTCATTTGGTAATTTTTTTTCAAATTGAAGACATCCTTACCCATTTGATTGAGCCTAAGAATATTGCGTTGAAACTACGTTTTAAAATGCGCTAGTATGTTTTTAACCTCATGATCTTTTCTTTTGAAAACTGATAGTTTTCACTAATTCTTGGTTGTAGTTTTTCAGTCCTCTTTGAGCTTTCTTCACTTTGAATTACACGCCGATGATTGTTTGGGTTGGTAAAGCTATGCGACTTCTTAGCGTTGTATGGCAACCCTTTGTTTTTTGTTTTGATTGTTTTTGGGCGAAAAACTTGGTTTTGTTTGTTTATCGGTGTAAAAGTTTATTTGGCAATTTGTTTTGTTTTTGAAGACACTCTGAGCTCAATTTGGCAAGCTTGAAGGGCTCAGTTTTATCCTTTCTATCGAAATAACTAGTAGAGCGTTGGAAGCCAGATAAAATTTGCGCTGGCTTGTTTCTGATTTAATGAGCTTGTTGTAAAAAAAACTGGTAAAACTGACAATTTTTCGGTCGTATTTTTTGAAAAATCCCCAAATACCTTGTCCTATTTTTGATGGCACAGTACCAAGGGGTAGCCTCGCCGAAAAAACAACTTACAAAATTGCCGGGACAGCAGCTAGATCCATTTCATTTTTGAGAGTGGCGTCTAAAGCCAAATCGTTTTCAGTTTCTGCATTCAGACAAGCTATAAAAACGCTAACTCACTTGAGCGAGAAAACATAAAGTCAGACTTCAAACAACAACATCTTATAAAGTATTGATATATTTCAAATGTTCTCACATCTCATATAAAAACACTAACTCACGTGAGCGAGAAAACATAAAGTCAGACTTCAAACAACAACATCTTATAAAGTATTGATATATTTAAAA